AAAAAAAAAAAAAAAAACCCAGTTAATAGTACAAAATTAAAGTGACAATCACTTTTCTAAGCACGATGGCTGCTTTGGAGTTTGTGTTTTTTAGGTTCTCTGCATTCTCGATGTTTCTAACAGGGGTACAAATATGATACTAAGCAGAGAAGAAACTGCTTCCTGACCAGTGCCCATAAGGCCTGCTGAATCCCAATAATAGTAACAATTTAAGGAGCTGGGAGTTCCCTTTTAGGAAACTTACATAGGTTAGAGCCTGAGATAAGGTGAGGTAACAAATGTGGGGCCAAGTAAATTATTTCTTATTACCAATGAAAGTAAGATTTAGGTCATTTGCTTTGATTCCTGTCTACCATCCTGATCTCTGTAGTGAAACTGAGTAAAGCTTAGTGACACTTCCAGCTGAATCTATGCCACCTGCTCTTTCACATGAATGTCTGCAACTTTAAAAAGGCTAGAAATCTTGGTGCAGCAACTTACAGTTCATCATTTCTAGTGAACTGAAGTCACTGAATTCCTGAACTTCGATATATAGCAATCAGTAAAGACCCCCCCATGAGGAGGATGGCCTGTTCTACTATGCAACTTTGGAGACTCTCTGCTCTCCTAACTCCACACGCTCTAAAAAGTATTGCATAGCTTTTGACCTTGCTAAATGAATTTCTGATGCTGACTATGTATAATTTTATCACTCAGACTAAGCCGTATGCAGTGGCCAGACTATCATTTGGAACTCTAGAATACTCTCCTAACAGTACTCCAAGCATCCCTACAAACACAAAGGTCTGACCACCTTGTGAATTCCTTAAACAAATAACTTAAAAGAAACATATCCTTTGAAACTGGCCGGGAAGCCTATCAGCAGCCTTTATTCCACCTCAGGTAGAAGAAAAAGAAAACCTGACCCATTTTTAAATGAGACTACTTAAGATCCTTATTCTGTCAGAAGCTAAGATGCAAATTAAGATTAAGAATATGAAACAATAGAGACAAAGTAGATAGTCTTAGAGCTCTCTGAAGGTTATCTGGTGAAATCTTCAAGAAAAGAAAAGTAATAGTAATTTTTCTTCTATTCCATTGATGTATGTGTCTACTTTTCTACCAGTACCACACGGTCATCTCCCTTTTTTACATTTTTTTTTAAAGGCTAGTCAAGTGAAGCAGCAGGAGAAGGAACAAAGGAATCTGTAACTGGTTGTGATCAATTAGCTGTAACCCCCCTGCGCTGGCACCTACCCACTCTGTCTTCTTGATTACCGTTTCTTTATGGTAAGTCTTAAAATCAAGTTTTGTTAAGTTTTTCACTTTCTTCTTCAACATTGTTTTGAGAATTCCAGCTCCTTTGGTTTCCCACATAAATTTCAGAATCAGCTTGTCAGTGTTCCACAGAAAATTCTTAGAGAACTTCTGACTGACACTGTGTTGAATCTATGTGTCAATTTGGGAAGAAATGACATCTTCATAATATTGGGTTTTCCAGCATACAGATGGTCTATCTCTCCATTGGTTTAGATCTTCTTTGACTTTTTTTTAAATCACTGTTTTGTAATTTTAACCATCTCTTGGATATATTTAGTTAGATTTATACCGAAGTATTTAATAGACTTTTGATGTTATTGTATAATGAATGGCATTTTAAATCTCAATTTATGATTGTTTGTTGCTAGTATATAGCCCTGTAATGTATTTCTGTTTATCAACATCGTATCTTGTTACATTGCTAAACTTACTACATCTACAAGCTTTTTCACAGGAACTTTGAAATTTTCTATATATACAATCAAATTGCATATAAATAGAGACTGTTGTATTTCTTCCTTTCTTCTCTGTATGTCTTTTATTTCCTCTTTAAAACTCACCATACTGACCAGGACCTCCAATACGGTGTTGAATGGGAGTAGTGAGAGCAGACATCCAGTGCTTGGTCCTTCTCTTAGGCAAAAAGCTTTCAGTCTTTCACCATTAAGTATGAAGATGGTTGTAGGGTTCAAGGTCATTTTTGTTTGTTATATAGCTGTCCTTTATTAGGTTGAGGACGTTTCTTTCTTTTTTTACTGAAAGGTTTTAATTGTTAAAATGGTTATTGAATTTAATCAAATGTTTTTGTTGTGTCTATTAAGATGATCATACTTTTTTTTTTTTTTTGAGACAAAGTCTCACTCTGTTACCCTGGGGAGAGTTCCTTGGAGTCATAGCTCACAGCAACCTCAGACGCCTTGGCCCATATGATCCTTTTGCCTCCGACTCCTTAGTCGCTAGGATTTCAGGTGCCCACCACAACACCTGGCTAGTTTTTCTATTTTTTTTTTTCCAGTAGAGATGGGGTCTCACTCTTGCTCAGGCTAGTCTCCTGAGCTCAAAGCAATCTGCCCACCTGGGCCTCCCAAAGTGCTAGGATTACAGGAGTAAGCCACAGAGGCAGGCCTTTCTTTAGTTTTAGATGGTTAATTAACTACAGAATGTTGAATTAACTTCTCATTTCTTGGATAAAGCTCATTTGGTCGTGAGGTATTACCGTTCTTGTATATTGCTGGATTTTGTCAACCTAAGTGACAGAGTGAGGCTCTTCAAGAGAAAACAGTATTTACTTAGGAATGGGCATTGTAATGGGAATACACTTACTATAATAAACGATGTGTATATTTAGGGAGGTCAGGAAGACAATAGTTTTTAAAAGAAAAATGAGTAGGATTACATAATTGTTTTGAGATAATTTATTGTTTACTAGAAAGATGAGTAGAAGGTGATACTAGTTAAAGGTTGGCAGACAATTGCTGGGTAGATGTGCTTGCGAAAGTTCTTCTATTGTTTTTTGTAAGGAAAGTGTTGTGCCTTTCTTCTTCCTTATGTGAGGTTGAGATTTTTGCAGTCTTGTCTGAGGTTTCTTGTTATTAGGCATTTGTGCATGAGAACCCTCCCTTGGTGGCTTTTCCTGGCTTTATTTGTCAGCATTTTTAAGACAAGTGGCTCCATTTATATTCTAACACTTTTCACAGTTTAATTTACTGATCTATCATTGAGAATGTTTTTTGCATCTGTGTCCTGAATTACTATTCTATTGTTTCCTGATAGTATCTCTGTCTGGTTTGGGGATCAGGGTAAAGCTGGCTTCAGTAAAAGAATTGGCTATTCTTCCTTCCTGATCTGTTTTCTGGAGAGGTTGGTGTAGAACTGGTATTGTTTCTTCTTTTAAATGTTTTGAAGTACATACATTTGAACTCACATGAACCAGTTTTCTTTCTTAGCAAAATGTAAAATATGAATTAAATTTCTTTAATAAACATAAGACCATTGGAGTTATTTATTCTTTTTTATTTTTTTTATGATTTTTAGCCGGGGCCAGGTTTAAACCTGCCACCTCCCGTATATGGGGCCAGCTCCCTCTCACAGGGAGCTGAGCCACAGACACTGTCCTATTTATTTATTCTTGAGTGAACTTTGCTAATTTGTGTCTTTCACATAATTTGTCCATTTTATTTAAATTGTCAAATTTGTTGACATGAAGTTATTCATCATATTCCCTCATTGTCCTTTAAATGTCTGTCACCTGTAGTGATGTTCTTTCTTTCATTCCTAATACAGGAAGGAATAGCTTGTTCTGTTACACTTGCTTTTTTGCGCATCCCAGATACTGTGTTTCTAACAAATTCAAGGTTCATGGCAACTTTATGTCGACCAAGTCAATTGGTACCATTTTCTTGCAACAGCATGAGTTCATTTCATGTCTGCGTCACATTTTGGTAATCTCACTATTTCATTTTTTGACCAGTAACCTCTAATGTTACTATTTTAATTGTTTGGGGGGCACCATGAACTGTGGCTCTACAAAATGGCAAATTTAGTTGATCTATGTTGAGTGTGTTCTGATTGCTGCTCTGACCAGCTGTTCTCCCATCTCTCTCCCTCTTCTCAGGCCTTCTTCTTTCTGGAGGCACAGTAGGATTGAAATTAGGCCAATTAGTGGCCCTGCAATGGCCTCTAAGTGTTCAGGTAAAAGAAATGAGTAAGTTTACTGAAGAAGGTATGACAAAAGCCAAGATTGACCAAAAGCTAGCCCTTTTGCACCAAGCAGCTGAGTTGTGAATGCAAAGGAATAGTTTATGAAAAAAATTAAAAGTTCTACTCCATTGAACACACAAATGATAGGTCAGCTTATAAATTTGTTATTTTCTTCCTCTGAATTAGTTTTCTTTTTTTCTAATTTCTTAAGGTAGAAATTTAGATTATTGTCTTCAGTCCATTAAAGCTGCTATAACAAAAATATCTTCAACTGAGTAGCTTACAATTAACATAAATTTATGTCCCATAGTTCTAAAGTCTGGGAAGTTCAAGGCCAAGGTGCCTACAGATTTGTGCGTGGTGAGAGCCTACTTCCTTGTTCATAGACAGCACCTTCTTGCTGTGTGCTCACATGGAGGAAGGAGGTGAGCTAGTTCTGTGGGCTTTCTTTTATAAGGGCATTAATGCCCTTGATCAAGGCTCTGCCTCTGTGGCTTAATCACATCCCAAAGGCCCTAATTCCTAATGCCATCACATTGATAATCAGGTTTTAGTCTGAATTTGGGGGAGACACAGGCATTCAGACCAAAGCAATTATTAAGATTTGTTTTACCTAATGTAAGGATATACAATCAACCCTTTGTATCCATGGGTCCTGCATCCATAGATTCAACCAACATCAAATCAAAAATATTTAGGAAAAAAAATGAACAATTGCATTTGTACTGAATGTATGCAGACTTTTCTTCTCTTGTTATTATTCCCCCCAAAATTCAGCATACGAATAAATTACATAGCATTTACATTGTATTAGG